CCTTAAAATGACTCTCATCCCGCCATTTGTTCAATTTTTTATGAATTTGTTTTTGAGGGGTTCTTAGAATATTTTGGTTCAGGTTTATCACTAGCTGCCATCAAGCTTGGTTTCAAAATCGACCAACCCAGGATGTCCAACGAAACATGACAGTAGCAAGGCGAATTGAAGATCGTCTCGTGATCTTTGAAATAATAAACGTCATTAATGTGTGAACTTAATATCAGAAGTACAATTCTGAAGTTAATAATCACAAAATACTCCTAATCCAAAATCATATGTTCTGCCTTTTCTGTGCTTTCAATAGTACCGAATATGAAGAATTTCGTTCAGATTTCGACAATTTTGGTTTTATTCAATAAAATTGAAATCTGAGCGAAATTCTCAATATCTCAGCTAATATTGACAGCACCAAGATGTTTATGTTTCAAGAATCATACCTGTAAAAGTAGGTATACAACTGAATGGCATCATTAGATTAAAAGTTCAATGACAACTTTCAAGTGGTCTTGCTACCGTATTGTTTCGTGGTACACCCTGTACTATAAAGAGAAATAGAGTTCAGATATTATATGTAGAGCCAATAGCAGGGGTTTTATATAGGATAGATCTTGGTAATCATTGAACCAGTGAACATTAAGTGAATCCAGTACACCCAAAAACTGCCACAACATTTAGACACGTGAATCTGCCATGAAAAATCAGCCACAAATTTCTAAAAGGTCCTGGCCTTATATATGGCCTATTGTACTTAAGATATTTACACGTTCAGTGGAAGTGCTGTAAATATTATCTAATAAAATATTTTTTAATTATGCTCAACACTAATAAACATTTCCCCAAATTTTTTAACAAATTTCATTTGAAATACAATAATTTGGTTTCGCTCGTATTTATGATGTTCCAAAAATATGTTGTGAATATTCATCACATTTTATATTGGAAACGGGTTGGAAAATAACAAATACCGACCAATAAACTGAAAATTTATAACATTTTCCAAACACCGGAAACGAAAGTATGCGGAATAGGTTAGAAGAATAAAGGAAAGTACTGCGGCCATGAGCCACAACTTTCTCCTCTTCCAGGCCACCACATTAGACTCCTCTGCACAAAACATTTTTTTATAGGTACATTTATAGCCTTTAAAGTGTGATTTACAAAACTCCAGCCGCATCTCGCAAAAAAACATAATTCAAACCATTTTATTCAATTCTACAGATTAATCTTCATTTATAAAAAAATAATTTGTATTAGATTTTGGCAGGTAAAATAAGTAATTTTTCGAATAGTGGGAGCGCAGAAGAATTGTTCTAAGCAGTCTGAAGAATAAGAAAATCTCAATATTTACTGAAATTAACTATACGTTACAGATTTTATCATTTTTATTTTCTCCTATCAAATTGCACATTTTCACAACCGGGCCGGGAACCCTTCACAATTTAAGTGCGTTTTATGGTGGGTCATTTTTATAAACGTTTCTATCAAAAAAAGCCATTTTTATGAAACTCAGAATTTAGATTTGAAAAAAAAAGTTCAACAGTTTACATTAAGAGGAATTATCATTTTACCACTTAAAAGATTTAAATATATATTTTAGCGTAACGCGGCTGGATTTTTGCGAGTCCCACTTAAAAATGTATCATTTTAAATAGCAAACCTTCCCCCGCTCACACCATACGTATTCTTAACTTAAAAATAAGCATTTGTAGGATTTCCGGTTACTCATGACAAATCAATATAAGAACTAAAAATGTGTAAATGCAATTTCACGCAGTTAAGAATACTCAACCATCTGCTTGCTTTCTTAGTTAATGAAATAGTATAATATATTACAACAGTGATAACGCGCAATGAGGAAAAATGGTGACAAACTGCGTATGAGACTAGTATGGTTGATTCGGTTGATTTACTCTTCTCAATAACTTTCCAAGACATAGTATATAATCAATTTCAGCACAATTATAAGCTTCAAATTTTTAACCATTCATATCAATATAACATTTAGACAATACTCCAAAAATACACAATGGTAATTTTTATTTTAGTTAAATAATTTCAAAACATAAAAAAATAAGGTCACTTTGAAGTTGCATTGCATAAGATCTTGATATTCAGCACAATACCCACTCATTGAGATGGTTAACACCATAAACTTGTACACCAAGCCTATGGTACTGTTTCTCCGTGTCTATTATTTCTCTTAACCAGATTTTCGGCCTGGATTTAGATTTTCAGATAGCTCTAGAGCTACCCGAGCTGACTACCAAGCAGGTTGATTAATTTCCATGACCAAGTTGGAGCACGCGTCACGGATTGTGTTCGTTAATCTCTAGTATTCAATGCGGGTAGAACGCTTAGCTACAAGCTCACTCCGTCAAAGCCTCTTAGCCCTATACAAAAATAGATGTAAATGGTTAATTTTACTTCAGTTTGACAACGAACAACTTGGATAAATTTCAGTTCTACTATCAAAACATTCATTAAATATCATGTTTTAGTTGTCAAAACAATCATCATTGTAAGAGAAAGACAAAAACGAATTTAGAATAAATTCATAGACCAATGTCAATAATTCATCCTGACGTCAATATATTATGCAATAATTGAAAGCACATTACATTCCAAAATGTATTATAAAAAGAGGAAACTACTAAAAATCTCATTTAAATATTCAATTATTAAATAAGCCGTGTTAGCAGGTCTTAGGGGGGATAAACTGATGTATGACACCGGCCAGAAATTAATTTGATGAATAGCAAAATAAATAATAAAAGTAAATGTTTATACCCAATATTTCTATCAAATCGAGCCAAGTGTGTTCAGCGATTGGGTTGTCGATTTAATTTCTTCAATGGTATCTCTCAACAAAGGTCCTAAATAATAAGATTACTTCAAATAAATACAGTTCAAAATTTGATATTATAATTAACTTGCAAGTTTCAGTTCTACTATCAAAACAATCATTAGATGTCATGTTCAGTTTATCAAAATAATCATCATTTTAAACATTATCTTAATACCGGATCCGGATCCGTTCAATCCGTAAGATTTGGTTTCAGGATAAAAATATGCGAAAAAAATAAGACAAAATTTGAAAATTAATTTTAGTTACAAATTCAGTGAACCAGCGAGGAAATAACCCAAATTTGTATCCGGATCCGCATCAAAATTAAATGGATCCTATGCACTGTTAATACAATAAAACGACCGGCCAAAATTATTTTTCACATGTAAAATTAAATTCTAATGAAGTACCTATTTAAATAAACAAAGCTCTACGATCCCATTGGTTGATTTAATTTCATGATTGATTATGACAGCAAAATATAACAGGGGAGATCCTAAATAATTCAGAACTATTAAATAGAAACACTATAATGACACATTTATTTCAGATTCTAATCAAGCCTTTTATAAATTAATTATTCGTTGGTGTGGGAACTCTACAGGGGGCGGCAACGTCATGTTTGTGTGTGTGTGTGTCTGTATCAAAAAAGTGTGTGTAAGTAACACCGAACCGAAGGCGTGTACTGTAGGTATATACAGTACATAAAAATCTTAGCATTTGTAAAGTCTAGGAGTGTACATTTGTGTATTGTTAATTGGTTTATATATATTATATATCATACGTATCTAAGTCAACACTTGAGGTGAAAAAATAAAGTTTTGATTAAAATTCAAAATAAACTATTCGTAGTTCAAGCTTGATTTTGAATAATGAAAACAAACTAATTTTGTATGAACTTTTGGAGTGGAAGATCAATCTTTTTGCGCTCAGTGAATCAAATTGGTTGCTAACGTTTTGTGTTGCGTTACAATGTTTTTAAGTGATTGAAGAAAAATGTTTTCCCCGAGTGTATTCATAACAGTTAGCAAAATGTACACATTCAGGCAGTGTGCTTGAGGGCTTCAGGCAATAAGGAAGTCAGCGGTTGTTGTGCCGAAGGTAGAGCTAGGAGTATTTAGGAAAAATCCTAAAATTGGATTAAAAATTCAATGAGTTTTTGGTGATTATTGAGAGTTAACATTTATCGCTCTTTATCAATTTAGAATAAAATAGTTGAAACAAGTAAACTACTAGTTTAATATTTTATCCAGGAAAGATCAAAGCATGTACATACAGCTCTACTAAGTGAGTTGTCATCAAATATATTATATTACATCATTCTTTTCGGGTTTACAAAATTACTTTGTAAAGTTGTTCACATAAAAATGTTCACCTGGAGCACTGTCATCAAAGAAATATCCAGTATGTTCTATGAAGTCCATCCAGGTTTTCTGCCACTAAAAAAGGGATTATTTCTTAATTTAATTTTCAAATTAACTTTTTTCTATAATCCGGCTTAAAAAGCTCAAGAGCAGATTTGAGATCAATGATGGATGACATGTCAATGGAACGAAAGCTCTATCTTGATTGAATGATAAGTTTCTGAATTTTGCAAAGTTTTCACTAAAATATTGAGAAATTTACTATTTAGAAACCTAATTACAATTTTTAGAAATCATTAAATTGGCTTGTTAAATATTTTTCCATATGCATTAGTAAGAAATAACCTTTTTGGGGTTCTAAACCTCACGAGATTTTCTTTAATTCTTTGTGGGTAACCCTGAACCTGTACCTCTTCATTTCCCTGGAGTAGATTTTGACATATCTGAAGCATCTCCTCTTCCATCTCCATCTTCTCTTGCAGGGTTTTTTCTCTATCCTCTCTAAATAAAAGAAGATATGCATGTATTAAACAGGGAAGTACATTCATTCATTCCTAACAGGCTGTTCAAATATGAACAAAATAATTGGACATTACTTGAAAGTTATTTTTTCTCTTAAAAAACATTTTTCTCTCCAAATCGCCAAAAAGTAAAACATAAATTAATTTCTTATGCAGCTGCAGTAGAGATAAAAGCTTTGACAGGGAGAAAAAAGTTTGTGAGACAGGGAGACAACTTCTACACTCAAGTTATGGTTTAGATTAGTTCAATGAATAAAAAACCCAGCAATTGTGCAATATTTGCTTTATAACAACATCAATACACATAAGATTGCAAACATGTCGTCTTTATAATTCACATTGTTTGGGGTCCCACTGTAATAATATTATATTGATAACCAAATCTAACCTAAGTTGAAGAATCTCAGTTTGGAACTCTGAATTACTGTTCTCCAACCTGAACAGTAAATATTAATGTTAGCATAATATTTATCTTGAATAACTTTCTTTGCTGTAATTCAGATGTATATATTTGCAATGCTCTTGGGGGAAAATAATAGTTTTTCGTCCTTTTCGATACTTTCTCCCCAAAAATATTTATTTTCTAAAATACAGGGGAAAAATTGTTTTCAAAAAGGGGGTATGGAAAAACGTCAAATTTGCGCTCACACTCGGGATTTTCAGATCTTTAAATAGTTAAAAATGTCTCAATTGAATCCGAAAGAAGTTTTCCAGAACACTGCATACTCAGTTCAACTACCTTACATAGCCGGTCACTCCCTTTAACTTCCTATAAT